GTCGGCGCAGTGTGACCGGGAAAACCCGGAACAGTTTGTTCCGGCTCTTTTTTGCCACGACTCCCTCCCGCTTCAAACTGCCAGTCTGAACTCAGCCTCTGATTCTGCAGTCCAGTTTTTATGGCATCGTTGGTGTTTTTGCTTGTTTTTATTACATTTTTTGTTGTCTGTTGTTTATATTGCGCTGTTTTAAATGGCATGCCCTGAGTTTCGGCAAGAATGGGAGCCTACTAATGACATAAGTGAAAGAAACGCACAGCGGGGCCTTGTCCCATGGGGGCGGCATTGCTGGATTTTTATGGGGGATATCGTGCTGTATTTAAAAGCTGTGTGAAACCCCAGTTGCAAAGGCACAAAAGTCTTCTCTGGGCGATGCAAAAAAAAGAAAAGAAGTTCTAGTGCAGAAGCCGCCTGGGACACTGGAAGGCAGCAGCCAGACCTCTTCACCGCCTCAGTGTTATGCAGATTGGATTCACCGTGTTGGCAGGGCCACCGAGAGATTGTGAGCCACTCTGAGACTCCTTCAGGTAGTGAAGGGCGGTGTATAAATCCAATCTCCTCCTCCTCCTTTCCAGGGAGAATGGGTTATAAATTCCATAAATAATAATAATATGTGAGGCCACAGAGTCTTCCTGCCAAAGCTGCCATTTCCTCCAGGGAAACTGATCCCTGTTTATAGGGATGCCAGCTCTGGGTTGGTAAATTCCTGGATATTTTGAGGGTGGGGCCCGGGGAGAGTGGGGTTTGGGAGGGGAGGGACCTCAGTGGGGTGTAATGCCATGGAGCCCACCTTCTAAAGCAGCCATCTTCTCCAGTGGAACTGATCTCTGTTGCCTGGAGACCAGCTGTCATTCTAGAGAATCTCCAGCTGCTACCTGGAGACTGGCAACCCTATAGTCTGGATATTGGCTATAATTCTGGGAGACATCCAGCCTCCCCCCTGGAGGCTGCAGCCCCTAAATTCAACCTTGTTTGTCTGCTCACCTTAGATTATATGAACCAAGCCACTAGGTGGGGGGGGGGGGTCAGCATTGAAAAGCCTTAAGGCAATTTGCCTCCCCCACCCCATGCATTCGAGTGTATGATCTCAGTGCTGCTAGCTTACATTGTTCTCTCTTCTATTTTATCTACACAACAGCCCTGAGAGGCAGGTTAGGCTGAACATGTCCCAAGGTCACCCAGCAGTAAGCTTCTGGGGCAAAGCAGGGATTCGAACTTGGGTCTCCCAGATCCTAGGCCAATACTAGCTGCTACACTCACACTGGCATTCTACTTTAGCTTCTCTTTGGCTGCATCCATCCACATGTGACTGGATATTGTGCTTTCGTTATGCCGTATCAATGTGTGGATACTGCCTTTGACTTGACCAAAACGGAGGCAGACTTTCTAATGAGTCACACACTACCTCATCGGAATAAGTACAGCTGGTCTTGGTATGAAGCAAAATATCCTGGGCGGGGCGGGGAGGAGAAATATTAGTAACAGTCTACAGTGTTCCTTCTAAGCTGAGTTAGTGTTGTGCTAGCTCACAGCTTTTCAGCCTCCAGCTCACATATTTCTGTCTTAGCTCAGGAAGGAGGGCTCCAGAGCAAACTCAAAAGAACCATAAAATGCTAATACTTGGCACTTTGGTGGTTGGGGCTGGATATCTCTCAGATCTGAAGTTACCGGGCTTTCTAACTCTCTAAACAGATTGGTTACAAACAAACATGTGACTTAACAAACATCATTAACCCAGTAAATACTGAAGAAGTGTTTTAACTTGTAACACCCAACAACTCTCTATGGCACTGTACCATGCTGAGGCCCCTCCCCTCCCCAAACCCCGCCCTCTCCTGGATCCACCCCCCCAAAGTCTCCAGGTATTTTCCAATCCAGACCTGGCAACCCTCCTGTCAGCTGGAGATCAGTTGTAAAAGCAGGAGATCCCCAGGCCCCACCTGGAGGATGGGAACCCACATGCTGGGCAGATGGGCAGCTATCCTTCATACTTCCCACTGTGGGCACCCAAACACCCGTAGCAAACCCTGGCTATAAACTTCTCAAGCTGTCTGCTTTTTTTTGCCCCATCCTTCCTCTCTCTCTCTCTCTCTCTCTCTCTCTCTCTCCCCTTCTCGCTTTCTCCGAAATTAGAAGCGGTGTCTATTTCTGAACCGGAAATTGTGGAGGCAGAAGTCCAAGGCGTGGGCTGGGGAGGGGGCAGGGGGAGCGAGAGGGAAATGTTGGAGGGGGGGTGTTTGGTAAGGTCACTGCGGGTAAGGGAGAAGCGGAGCCGCGTGGCCACCTGTTGCCGTCAGAGGGATGGATTTTTAAGAACGGAAGGCTGCGGCTCGTGTAATTCCGCTGGGCACGGCTGTGCTTTCACCGGAGTGCGGTGCTGGTGGGGGGATGGCCTGGAAATGTATCGACCCCTGGAAAATAGATTGTGGAAACTGAACTCTTCAGAGATGAATGGAGTAATTGATGAACGAAGTCAACCGAGCGATGGACAGCTCGGTCTCTCTCCCCACAGGAAGAGACGGGAACCGAAAGAGCGAAAGGCGGCAAAGCCTCATCTTCACACTGTGTGGGAATCCAGACCCCTTCCTCATCCTGTCTCCCTTTGGCGGAAGACAGTTTGCTACGGGGGGGACGACCCCGTCCTCGGAGAGTCCCCAGTGGGATCAGAACACAGGGTCCCCTCCCTGCTCTGAGCTTTGAACCAAAAAGGGCCTTGTGCTCTCCAAAGGCTGGGGATTTTTTAATTTAGTGAGGGGAAAGACAGCAAACGGGGTATACAGTGGATAACAGAGCCAGTGCAGCTTAGTGATTAGAGTGTAGGACGAAGGCTGATTCTGCACTGGCTTTTCCCTCCGTTGTTTTAGCAAACCCACGTGGAACAGAAATTTCCCCTCCGCATTGCATGCTGCTTTCACGTCCTCTGATCATCCGATTTTATGGTACCCTCTGCATTGCATGCTGCTTTCACTTCCTTTGATCATTGGGTTTTATGGTAGCCGCCACACTTTATGCCGCTTTCGCTGCCTTTGATAATCGGATTTTATAGCACCTCCTGCATAGATTTATGGCCGTTCAGGGGTGACTTTGCAGTCAGTACAGCGTTGGCCCGGGGTATCTGTGGTTTTGAGCTGCACTTTCCCCTCCCAGTTAAGAAAATGTGGAACAAATGCTAGATGCAGAATCAGCCTAAGATCAGGTTTGACTCCCTACTTCACCATGGAAGCTCACTGGTAACTTGGCCTCATCACTCTTTCTCAGCTTAACCAACATCACAGGGTTGTTGTAGTTGTGAGGATGAAATAGAGGAGGGGAAGAAAATCAGATATGACAACGGCAGCGAGAGTATTATATGCACAAAAATGGGAAAGTTCGACATTACCCACAACAGAGGAATGGTTGGTGAAGATGATGGAACTTGCAGACATGGCTAAACTTACTTCTTTGATTAGAGAAAAGACATTATCTACGAATATTGTTCGCTGGAAACCCCTTATATATTTTTTGCATGAAATGGAAAAAAAATGAAATGATGATTTGCGGATTTAATAATTAAGGGGGGGGGAATTAGGTAACAGAAAAAAGAGAGCTCTTTTTTTGTAATTATAAAGTGTTTAGTTTGTAACTACTTATTTTTGTCATGGAGAAAATCGGAAGCTACTTTATATTCTTTATATTTTTTTCATCTCTTTTTCTTTATATCTTTCTTCTTTCCCCCCCCTCTGTTTTTCTTTGTTTTCTTCAACTTAGTATTTCTATTTCCTTTTTAAAGATATCTGTTGTTAGTTTTTATCTTTTGGTTTAAAAATTCTTAATAAAAATTATTTAAAAAAAAGATTTGCTCCAGGATGATACTATTCCTTGTACACGGTAATTTTGGAACAAGCCTGATCTTTAACTTCACAACATCCTCGCAGTGTAGAACTCTCTTTTCCCATTGTGTATATGATTGCTAGGCCTTGGACAAACCTCAAAGACACAGTGATGGATGTGAGATTCAAAATGAAGTCCTGCTCTACCTGTTTCTCGTGCAAACGTTCTCCGTATGTTCAAATCTGCCAGGGAGAGACCCCACCCCTCCTGAAATCACAACTGATCTCCAGACAACAGAGATCAGTTCCCCTGGAGAAAAAGGCTGCTTTGGAGGGTTTTGGCTACTGCATCAGTTAGTTTGCTCTGGAGCCAGCCTTCCCGAGCCAAGGCAAAAATGTGTGAGCCGGAGGCTAAAAAACTGTGAGCTAGCTCACACTAACTCAGCTTAGAGGGAACACTGCTCAGAAGCTAAGCAAGCTTGTAAGCTATTTGGATGGGAAACCACCAAGGAATACCAGGGTCATGATGCAGAGACAGGCACTGGAAACCACCTCTGAATGTCTGTTGCCTTGAAAACCCTACAGGGTTGCCATAAGTCACCTGTGGCTTGAAGCCCCCCCCCCCAAAAAAAACAAAACCAGGTGGTCACTTGCTTTTCCAAACCAGGAATTTCCCAACCCGGATCTGGCAACCCTAATACAGTCTGTGAGAAACACCGTAGAGTTGGTTAAGGGATTCCGAAATCCTGAAAGCAGTTTCTGTTTGAAACTGCTCTGCTGTACCAACCCAAAAGCCCACAGCAGCTGTCCTAGGGTTGCCAAGTCACCATTGGCCACCAGCAGGGGATGGGGTGGTGGTGTTGGGTTGCCAGATCCAGGTTGGGAAACTCCTGGAGATTTGGGGGATGGAGTTTGGGGAGGACAGGGAACCTCAGTGAGGTACAACGCCACAGAGTCCACCCTCCACAGCATCCATTTTCTCCAGGGGAACTGGTCTCTGTAGTCTGCAGATGAGCTGTAATTCCAGAGGATCCTCAGGTCCCACCTGGAGGCTGGCATCCCTAAGCTGTCCTGAGGGAATGGAAGGTTGTGGGGGTTTTATTCTTTAAAAACCAGAACTGAGCATGTCATGTGACTGGCCTTCTTTGTGTTTCTCTCTCCCTCAACCTGCGTGCCCGCATCACCCACTAGGAGGATGTTCCCGTTTCTGAGCTTCAACATCACTGGGCTGGACCCCGTGGCTCATTACAGCATCTGTGTGGACATTGTGTTAGTGGATCAGCACCACTGGCGGTACCAAGGCGGGAAATGGGTTCAGTGTGGCAAGGCGGAAGGAAACATGCCAGGTACAGTGGAGAAATAATTCGTGTTCTCTTTTGACTGACTCCCGAAGGGTGGCCGGGTTAGTCTGTCGTAGCAATGTGAAACAGAAATCAAGTGGTACCTTCAAGACTCAGGGTTTACTCCTGCAGAAGTTTTCGTGAGTCAGACGTTTTCGGAAGCCTATGAAGCAGAAAATTAGTTTACAGACACTTTTATAGCCAAAATTGCAGGAAAGGTGGCGGGGAGGTGGTTATAAAAGTGTCTGTGAAAAAAAAATTATCCACTTTATATGAAGAAGTGAGATCTGACTCACAAATAAATTTGGCGAGTCTGGTGGCCTTTTGCACATTCTGCTTTTTTCTCTCTTGTATGTTCGTGTTACTTCAGGGTCTTGTTTTTCTGTTCTGCATGTGTTTTGCTCTCTCTAGTGGTCAATTTAATATTGCATTGCTTTATGTCTGGGACATCTCCCTGCAGGTTTAAACTGCAGGTTTTTATGCCGGACATACAGCACTGTAATATTGAATCGACCTCTTGGGGGACCAAAAAACCCCATGCAGAGTAGAAAAATAAGGCCCCAAAGCAATAGGAACACACAGGCGAGGAATATGAGAATGTGAAAAAGCCCTTTGAGATGCCACTTCTGTTTTGGCATCAGTTTTGTGGCTTGGATTTGCACCAGCATTTCTGTAGACACAGTCTCTTGCATCCACAGAATGAGGTTTTCCCCCTCCCCTCCTTCACGGCAGCTGAAACACTGCCCCCCACCAATTCTGTTCCTGGGGGAGAGGGGATTTTGTGCCCTACCGAGTTCATGACTGAAGAGAGGTTTGAGATTTCTGGCTCATGTGTTTACACCTGGCCTACCTTATATGGCTGTTGTGAGGATTACAGAGATGATGAGCTACAATTTAGGGAAAATGCTGTAATAATGCTAAGATGATTGTGTGGCAAGGGAAAGGAATTCCACACATGCTTGGAAACATTCTTGCCTTTAGCATCTCTGTAGAAAAATCTGGGAGCATCCAGCAGAGTTTGAAACACATTTGCTGAGGAAACATTCTAAAACACTTTCCTTTCCTAGTTAGATTTTGCATGGAGAGGTGAAATTTTTTTTATATATATATATGCTTCTATTTCGACCTCCCAATTGTTTTCTTAAATTCAGAAAGGGTTATATTTTATATATTAATAAGATTGTTTCACCAGCTCCTAAATCTAATTGAGAATGTCTGAATTTACCCCTTTTCATAACCACCTGTCTTTGTCACACTCACACTGACAAATGTAGTCCTGTTCCCAAGACCTTTGGCTCCCTCTGGTGGCTCCAATGAGAATCTAGAGGGCCCTGCCATTAAGACAGGGTTAGCAAAACCTCCCTGACCTGGATAGCCCGAGCTTGTCAGATCTCAAAAGCAAAGCAGCGTATTTGGATGGCTAGTAGTTGGATGGGAGACCTCCAAGGAATACCAGGGCCATGATGCAGAGTCAAGCAATGGCAAACCACTTCTACATGGGTCACTATAAGTCAGTTGACTTGATGCTTTTAACTGGAGACGCCGGGGATTGAACTTGGGACCTCCTGCATGCCAAGCAGATGCTCAGCCGCTGAACCATGGCACCCACCTCGAACTAATGAGATGATAAATCTGCCTTATTGTGAGTCAGACTATTGGTCTCCCAACATGAATACTGTCTACTCCGACTGGCAGCACCAGTTCAGGATCTCAGTCAGAGGTAAGAACATAAGAACATAAGAGGGCCAGGACATTAGAAGCCCTCCCACTGTTGACCCCCCCCAAGCACCAAGATGACAGAGCATCACTTGCCCCAGAGCCCCTAGCTATACCTTGTGGCTAATAGCCACTGATGGACCTCTGCTCCATATGCTTATCTAATTCCCTTTTGAAGCCGTCCATGCTTGTAGCCGCCACCACTTCCTGTGGCAGTGAATTCCAAGTGTTAATCCCTCTTTGGGTGAAGAAGTACTTCCTTTTATCTGTTCTAACCCGACCGCTCAGCAATTTCATGGAGTGCCCACGGGTTCTTGTATTGTGAGAAAGGGAGAAAAGTACCTCTTTCTCTACCTGCTCTTTCCCATGCATAATCTTATAAACCTCAATCATGTCACCCCTCAGTCGTCGTTTCTCCAAGCTAAAGAGCCCTAAGCGCCTTAACCTTTCCTCATAGGGAAAGTGTCTTTCATGTCATTCCCTACCTGATCTCTTTAGCTGGAGACCACATACTCTACATACTCTATGGAGACCACATACTCTACTGTTGAGCCACAACCCCTTTCCTCTTGCGTCAGGGGAAGATCCAGCCCATTCTATTCCATTACAACTGGGTTGGTCTCATTTGCAAAATTATACTTGTTTAAAACATCATACACAACACAAAAAATATTATGCCTTGACTGCTGCCGTTGCTTTCCTCTGGAATTATGCTGCCTTACGTTATATCCATTTCCTTCTTTCCATAAATGTGGCTTATTATCGTGTATTTAATCCCCCCTGTATAACAAATTCATTTAATCTTCATTTAAACTTGTTGGGATTTTTGTTTCTGCCAGGGCTTTTTTTCTGGAGAAAGAGGTGCCGGAACTCTCAAGAGGGAAATGAAGCAGAAACACACGGGATTCTTTGAAACAATGTTATTTTCATGCACTATAGACCTACCTCAACTTTAAAGCAGTTTTAAACATTTTTGAGAATTTTGCTTCCACAAAGAGGTTCCGTTCCCCCAGGAAAAAAGCCCTGGTTTCTGCCTTCCCAATGGAAATCTCCAGGGGTAGCTCTAAGTATACAGCATACTTGGAGTTGGATTCAACTAGATTTTCTGCTGGTGAAAAAGTCAGGAGGCCCCCTTTTGACCACTAAGTTTGCTATGCTGGGGGTCATGGGATCTGCATGGGTCAAATTGCCAGGATTATGCCTGAAAATACTTTGGGGGGAGGGGCATGGAATGGGAGGGAGAGTGTTGCATAACATGGTGACATCACTTCCAAGTTATGACTAGAAGTGATGTCGTCATATCCTGTGGGTTCTAGGACGTCCCCAATCTCATGGTGAAGACCATAGAGGCTGGGCAAGTTCCTAGAGTCCTGCAGATGTGGTGCCCAGAAGTGATGTTGCTGCATCTGCAATGTTATCCCCCTCCCCTGTTTTCTCCCACTACAAAAGCAGGTGAGAGTGGACTAGAGCCTCGTGAGTATTCAATCCAACTGAGTGTTGGAAATCAGCTAAATTATACACTTTGTATGATCTTACCTTAAAATTTTGGGGAAGGATCTTCTCTTTGCTGCTGCGATCCTGGTTACAATACAATTTTGTAAAAAAACCCCACACCCCTCATTTTAATATCATGGCTGCCAACCAAGGAAATCTTGTAGTTCCACGGGTAGATCTAATGAAAAATTCACAGCCTAACAAGCCTGACAATTTGTGACACAGGCATAGGAACAGAGGGGTTTCAAACCCGTTTCAATGTGTCCGTGTAGACTAGGGTTGCCAAATGTACTCACCTGTGCCGGCGGGGACTTTGTGTTGCCTCCCGGTGCGTTTTCCCCTCAAGTGACGTGCATGCGGGGGTGGGGTTTCCCCCGGGCCCCGATTCCGCGGGGGTGGAAATCAGGGCTCCAAAGCGGGGGGAATTCCGCCCCCCGGGGGGATTTGGTAGCCCTAGTGTAGACTTTTCTAATTCCATGATCCAGTGCTAGGCCCCAAAGTGCTTTGCTCTGGTCTTGGGCAGATTGACAGATGCTTACCCGAATGCCATCTTTCCGGCAGGGAATCGGACATACATGCACCCGGATTCTCCGAATACTGGCGCCCACTGGATGCGGCAAGAGATCTCCTTCGGAAAGCTGAAGCTCACCAATAACAAAGGAGCATCAAATAATGTTACGCAGGTAATCGTGGCTCTTGGTTGCCTGAAGTTCTTTTTATTGCCCCGTACAACAGCGCTGCACGATCCAGGAGGCACGATGTGATGCTGGGGATGGTGGGGCGCAACTCTTGGGTCACCCATACCTGAATCCTGTCCCGTTTGTCTAGCAGATGATCGTGTTACAATCTTTGCACAAGTATCAGCCACGGCTACACGTCACGGAGGCCAAGGAGGGCGAGGTGGACGAGGTGCAGTCTTCTCTCTGCACCCAGACCTTCACCTTCCCCGAGACTCAGTTCATTGCTGTGACAGCGTACCAGAATGCTGATGTGAGTTTGCAATGAGGTGGAGCGCATTGCCGGGATTTTTACACTGGGATTTTAAAGTTTGGGATAATGGAGGAAAGGGGGAGGTTTGGCTCCCCATTGGGTGTGTCTGTTGGTGGATAGGTAGACTTTGGCTTCTGCCACTGAGAGCCACAAAAGGGGGAAAAGGTTGCCATAACAATGCTCCCTCTAAGTCGTGGAGTCTTGTGAGCAAAAAATCTACTTTGTGACCTACTGGCATTAAAGCAAAAAATCTACTTTGTGAGCAAGCGGTTTGGCTACCATATAAATTACTTTGCTCTGGAGCCATCCTTCCTGAGCTAAGACAAAAATGTGTGAGCTGGAGGCTGAAAAACTGTGAGCTAGCTCACACTAACTCAGCTTAGAGGGAACAGTGGTTGCCAACTTTGGCTGGGGAAATTGCTGGAGATTTCGGGGCCTTGCCTAGAGAAGGGGGAGTTCGAGAAGGGCAGGGAGCTCAACGGGGAGGCGATGCCATACCAGTAGTAGTAGTTGTAGTAGTTTTAGAGGGAACAGTGGTTGCCAACTTTGGCTGGGGAAATTGCTGGAGATTTCGGGGCCTTGCCTAGAGAAGGGGGAGTTCGAGAAGGGCAGGGAGCTCAACGGGGAGGCGATGCCATACCAGTAGTAGTAGTTGTAGTAGTTGTAGTAGTTTATTACAGTCTGTAGACCAGCATACAGTTTAATCAAATAGAATACAATATTCCCCCCCCCTGAATTTAAGAGCTTTTAAGGTGCAGTTCCTGTAATTTGAAAATTAATGCACAGAATTTTAGCAACTTGACATGTAATCTTAGAATTATTAGCAGAGAAAAACCAATGAAGCCTTTCTTTATTTGTGTTTACATGGCCGAGGATCGTATCAAGTAATGGAGTAATTATTCCAAGACGTACCTTCCTTTTATATATATATATATATATATATATATATATATTTGTGTGTATGCGTGTGTGTGTGGGAGACATGTTTGTCTTTTTGTGACCCCCACTGGGGC